AGATGATAATTGAACAATTCTGAGGTATCATTTTTTAAAGCTGCAATTAAATTGTTTTCTGTTATACTGAGTTAAAATAATACAACATGTAAGTATTACTGAACCTTGATTTGTTTATGATCACAATTAACCAGTCCCCCATAACTATCTTATTTCAACTAGATCTTGACATCTTCTATAAATATATATAAAAAAGTTTTAATGTGCAACAATATCCCATCTAGCAAAAGCATACACTGCATATGTTGCACAAACCTGATATATGTTCATCTTCTACAGAGACAAAAACCTGTTATAAAAGTATAAAGGGTCACCTTAAGTCCAACCTTTAATTCTCTGTAATATATCAGGATATTTATTTATTAGAACTATCTGGATTATTAGAGCTATTTTGTAATATTTTGTATTATTTAATATTGGTACTTTAACCTGGTCACTACTATTCGTATTGTCTTGGAGCAACTGTGACCACATAATTTTATCTAGAACTAATAAAATATTCTGATTCTGAATAATGATTCCAAATCTACCTGGAGTCAACCATCTATCCCGATGGATGGTGCACAAAAGCAGTGAAGAAGAGAGTGCAGGCAGGCTGGGTGGAGAGGGGGGTCCAGGGGTGATTTGTGACACAAAAGGAGCAAGAGTGAAAGGGAAGGTTTAAAAGGTAGTAGTGAGAGCTGCCATTATGTATGGTTTGGGCACTATAGCACTGTAGAGTGACCATGATGAACATTATTAGAAAAAGAATACCTCAGAGGGACAGCTCAGGTTGAGCATTTGGAGATAAATTTAGAGAAGCTGAGATTGTTTAGGCATGTGCAGAGGACATTTTGAACAAAGGGTGTTGAATATTGTTGAATACTGAGGTGCCAGGCAGGGGGAAAAGAGTAATACCACAGAGGAGGTTCTTGGATGTGATGAAGGAGGACATGCAAATTTGTCAATGTGCTAGAGGAGGATGCGGATAAGGTGAGAGACCGATGATCAACTGTTGGGACCTCTAAAAGGAATACTCAAAAGAGGAAGGTGAGAAGCTACGCCTGAAAGTTTATTCTGCTCATCTGGAAATCAGTGTGAGACACCAAGAAACTGAAAAAGTATCTTGGAATGAAAGGTTTCTCCCACTGAGAATGCATGCATCCAGGTGAACAGACTCAACTTTCTTAGATTTTCTTACCTGAATGATCGAACATGCATCAACACAAGAAGATCTGTGGAGAAAAACGAAAGGATTTTTAACTTACTATGTTTTTTAATGTATTTATTCTTTACTCACTGATTTTTGGTTAAAAATACATTGTATATAGAAACTGGATTAGTATAGTATAAATGCTATATGTGCACATATTTTTTCCCCGTTGATCTAATGAGAAGATTTGCACAACAACTACAATATCACAGAAGTAACAAAGATATATTGATATTAAGAAAAATATTTACAACCACACTTATGTATCATCTGAATTCTTTTTTTTTTTTAAGTTTTACTGATGCCTTTTGTAACTCGTTAATGCTGCTAGAGGCTGTCAATTACGTCACAATGAAGGAAGTTAAATGCTGAACGACCCAAGTGAGACATCTAAAGCTATAAAAGTCGTATTTTAAATAAATTGAAATAAATTGAAATAAATAAATAAATACCCCACAACTATCTGGAATGTTTAAAAAATTCCAGTTTAGTATTCTCTGTCCATTTGTCAGACAGTTACTTCAGAAACTACAGTCAAGTGTGATATTGTGCCATGGAAGTCAAGGTGTGGTGCTTTCATTACTTGCATGGCATCTTTTGGTTTAGAATAAATTCATTTGGACTTCTCTAAGTAAAGCCAGACGTTGCATTTTTAAGTTAGCATGTTATCATTTCAGTTCAGTTCATTTCAGTGTTATTTATACACCGTCAGTTCATGGCGAACTCACTCAAAAGACAAATTAGCAGTCTCTAGCGTCAAATACGTGAATTTTCCTTCACGTATTTTCCTCCATATCTTGTTATCTCTAAATCTGGCAACCCAAATGTTAAGAAATCACGCGTGGACGAAGCTTCTTCTGGGGTGTTTAGCGGCGGCTCGTGAACGGCGGATAACTTAATATGTACAGTAAAAAAAATAAAAAAAAATAAAATCAACCAATCAACCAATCAATCAATCAATCAATCAATCAATCAATCTATCTATCTATCTATCTATCTATCTATCTATCTATCTATCTATCTATCTGATTTATTAATAAAAACAAACAAGCAAAAGGTTTGTTTTAAAACACAACGATTATATATTACTGAACTAAAATAAAAGACAAAAAAAAAATTCTTTTGTAAACTTTTATAGAATAACAAACACAGTGACAAACTACCTTTTGGATTAGAATTCTCGTTTCACTCTCACAAACATCAAATTATTATTATTATTATTTTTTCTTTCTTTTTTTTTTTTACTTTCTCACGTTTTTATCCTGCTTTAACGGACAATTGCATGACACAATGGTACTATGCCATCCTTAAAAAGCAATCTTAGTTAATCATAGTCACTGATTTTGCTGCAAGAGGGAGATTCATAATCACATGCTTCCATGTGGCTTCCAGTGTGATGCAGTGAGACACAAAGGACAATACGAAAAACATACTGTAGTTTCATGTGGCTTTTTGAAGTAAAACATTACGCAAATACCCAAAGCACCATTAGGTGGCATTACTGATTCATTTAGGCTACATTATCAGTCCATGATTCAGCCTTGATATGGAGTTATGTAATAAGAACTGCCCAGGGGGTAAAGGTAATAAATTTAGAAAAGTACTTGGTGTGTGCAATTCATGCATGGACTCGAGCAGAGGTCTCCAGTACCCGAGAACTACTGTCCTGCAGCTTTTAACAAGCTAACAGAACCCACCTTTAGGTCTGCTTTGCACAGGTTGATGAGCTGGACACTGCAAATGCTCTTATAGAATACAGGGATTGTGCAACACTGAGTGGCAACCTGGGTTCATTCAGGAATTTTGTTATCTCATTCATGGAGCTGATATAACAGAGAAGATCAAAGTCCAGTCAAATGCAATGTCAGTAAAATAAATGCCATAGGGTAACTATATACCTCAGAAATCTGCTGACTTTTTTAGATCAGATTTGCGGAGAAACAGATATGAGTACAGTTGTTGTTGATCAATGGTCATGAGAATTTGCATAATTATGATTAAGGAACTGACCTCACAGCCCATTGTTCCTTCAGTGGGCTGGTTTCAGTCATTATGCAAATGTACTGTTTATAAGATTGGGGAATGACATTATAGGACACTTAGAAAAAATATTGTCTACAATGATCATATTAACCTTACACTTACTTCGAGCAGTTTTCTTCTCACAAGCTCTACAGAACCTCTCGGCCAAAATGGTGCCTGAGAGTTGAGAAGCATTTTATATTACTCAATACAAAAGTGAAACAATAATGTAAACCAGAGAAAGGAACACGGGGGCATACAGTACTGCTTTCCATGAAAATGTTTTAATATTTTTTAACTGTTCAGACTCAAAGAAATTCATAATAAATGTTAAAAAACTATAATTAGTCATTTAAATAGAATTTTTGAAACTCTAGCCAGAGGGCACAGAATGGCATAATGACACTCCTGAACGAGGCATCCGTTCAATTGAATAATGCTAAGATGATATAGAAACAATCATATTATTATTATTTGATGAGTTTTCTTGTGTTTTCATATCTGTTATGCTTTATTATGATTATTTTCATTTAACTGGTTAGTTCTGAGTTCATTCTTATTACATCTCTGAGTTCACTTATCATCAGTTTAGTTCCTTGTTTATTAGGTTCCCTTGAGTCTTTGTCCACTGTGCCCCTCTCTCTGTGTCTCCGTTTATATGCGTGTGTGTGATGCTCATGTCTGGGTTTTCCCCATTTAGTTCCCGTGTTCCCCTCTTTGCATTTATTCCATGCCTCCCCTGTCTGTAATGTTTGCCCATGTTTCCCCCGCCTGTCTCTCCCTCACCCTTGTGCCCCTTCTCGCTCTCGTTCCCTCTCTCTGGGGTCCCCGCTCCTTCTCTCTGTCTCTGTTTTCATCTCCTCCTCTTGTTTACGTTTCCCTTTGTGTCTCATGCTTGGTCTTCCCCATCTGTTATGTGTGTTCTCACCAGCCCGTCATATCCTCTGTATGTGTTCCATATTTATGTTTGTGTCTCGTCTCCCATTGTCAATTCCCTGTTCTCTTGTTAAGTCCAAGTGTATTAGTTTCCCTTTTTACTGTTTTATTTTGACAGTCTCATGGTCTATGTTCAGTGTGTTTAGTTTTGCTTCTCCTGTGGCGTCTTGTTCATTCACCTGTGTTCCCCATGTGTTCCCCTGATCACCTCCTGTCTGTATCTGAGTTTTCCTCTGACCTTTGCTGTATTGTGTCTGTTTTCCCCCCATGGCTCTTCCATGCTTCCTCCCGTGTTTCCAAGGTTTCCCCAGGTTTTTCTAGTATTCCAGTTTTTGTCTTATTTTCTTAGTTTCCCCAGTTCAGGCGATTCTGTGTTTAGTTTTTGTTATTTATGTTTCTCCCTGTTTGGTATATCTGCCTTAATAAATAGCACACTTTCAGTTAAATTTCAGTTTCCATCTGTCTGTGGTCTGCTTTTGGGTCCTCACATAAACAATTCATGCGGTCTGCCTCTGCAGATTGTGACATATTGTAGTTGGCCTTTGAAGTAATTAAATCATTGCACCACTCACTAATATATTTTAGTAATTAGTCCATTTCCAATGCTCATGTTATTTCTTGCAAAAGCATTACCAACTATTAAACTATTACAAGACTAATCAGATCTTTTATTTCTGTTCAGTTATACATTTTGCATTACTGTGTAGGCAGGTAGATTTTAACCCTGTCCAGCAAACTAGCAGGATCCTGTAGGAAAGCTGGAAGGTTCTTCCTCTTAACGTAGACAGTGAAGGACAAAGCAGCAGCTGACAGAAGCAGAGGCCACTTATATGATCTCCTGGGTTTGAGCTCATGGTCTGGTCTGCAGGGGTTGAGCCACTCTCTCCCACTGAGTGAGGATTGCCTGAGAAAGCAGAGAAAGCCACGAATAGAGAAAAACAAATCTCATCTGTCAGAGCAAAGCAAAGTCTGATCTGTATGTTGTCAAACCCACCTTAAACCTCCACAGACCACCAATGTCATTGCTGCTTTCAAAGCAGACAGGCTCCAGCCCCTCATCCAGACAGCACTTAATAGAGGCCAGACCTGAAGCCCCTCCGCCAACAATTGCTACACGACGTGTCATTCTTCAGCTCTGTGGAGAGTGAATCAGATCAGTCCAAAATATTTTTACTCTAAAATAGGAAATTGCATCCATGGAGCTGTATGCAACAGGAAGTTCGCCCCTATTTCTTTTCATAAATGATTTTTACCAGTGTTTGCTTGGAAGAGCTATCACTGCCAAACTTAACGCTTGTTTTGGCCATAGCTGAAGTCCACTCTGGCTTTGGATTTCACGTTCCCAGGTAATTTAATGTTGCAAGGCAACATTCCTCCACAAAATGCTCTTTGGAGTATTCTGACTCTACATTTAGTCAGGTGATAAGACCAACTCAAAAGAACTCAAAATGCAGCTTTATTGCTGAACACCAGAAATACAAAACTAACTAAACTGGGAATACACATGGCTATGTGTATTCCCAACTAAGCAGGTAGGCAAGCAGGCAGAACATATGGCCACCTCCTCCAACTTCTCCAGGGAAACGCCAAGGTGTCCTCAGGCGAGCCAAGAGATATAATCTCTCCAGTGTGCCCTGGGTCTGCTTCCCAGTGGGACATGCCCGAAACACCTCACCCAGGAGGCATCCTTGTCAGATGCTTTAACTCTGCTTTGGGTTTAGATTGTGTAGAGTTATTAACAATCTACACTAGAAAGTTAACTGAAAGTTCAATTCAGCTGTAAAACTGAAGCTTCATCCATTATCATTGCAAACAATGATGGTAAATGGACTGATTCTTATATAGAGCTTTTCTGGCCTCCTGGAGTACTCAAAGCGCTCTAGACAACACGCCGCATTCACCCATTTACACAAGCACTATTATCTATACTACTTCAAACTATCGTTCATACGCATTCATACTTCGATGGAAGCATCGGAGAGCAAGTATCTTGCCCAAGGATATTTGGCATGCAAACTGGGGGAGCCAGGGATCAAACCTTCTCATCAGCAGCTGACCCGCTCTACCTCCTGAGCACCCCAATAATGTATGTATGGTCGGAAGGGGTCCCATTTCACTGCAGGTAAGATGTACGTATAACATTGCAAGTGACAATTGAAGGCATAATCAATCAATCAATCAATCAATCACCATCAAGACAGAGGCGTGTTTGCACTGGTCTTTGGTATTAATACCAAGTCAAAGCAGAGAAAAGAGATCTTTATTTTTTTAGCAAACAATCTCAGATCTTTGTGGCTTAAAAGATTTATTTACTAATAAAAGACATGAAAATTGATTTGTTTCAAGTGCTGAACTTTTATTTATAGTTATGAGTCCTGTTTTTCATACTTTAGAATCACTGGAACATAGTAATGGATAAAACAACACAATGTAGTGAAAGATGTGACAACACTGTGATTTATTTTTATTTGAAAGAAACAATAGTAAACCATCAGTAATGTTGTGTATCAGTAATGTTGTAAAAACATTTGAATACTTCAATTAATATAATGAAAGAAAACAGAGCAGCATGTCAATGTAGAGTAACAGTGCTGATGTTTAAAAAAGGATAACAACAGTTTACCCCTCTACAATGGCATTCTGTGCTAGCATAATTTCTTTTTACCCATGTTTATGCTCTTATATTGCAAA